TATGAGAGAAACAAAGCGATAAAGTGTATGAACGATTTTTCATGATTGTGATGATTGCATTACCGGACAACATATTTTGGATTCTTTTTGCCATAGAATCATTATAAAGCAATGTGTGTGTCATCTGACTGTGAATTGCTTTTCATAATGGAGATCAATGATACTCAGCTTTTTGCACTTGCAAACATTTCCCATCAATCTGATGCTGATACCCTATTTTGAATTGTTTCTTTTTTTAATCAGCAAGGGCATTTTTACGTGTTTAATGAGTTATTTTCTGCCAGTTGAAATAAAAGTATGTTTTCCTTCCTAACATGTATTTATTATCAAAATTTAAAAATATGTTGAGAAAGAAAAAGAAGAAAGCAAACCCTAATCCCATCATGTTAACTTTTAAAATGTATGTCCCATGAGGCTTATTTATTTCTTATTCTTGAACTACAACTTTGACTATAGGCATATTCAGTTTGTGTCTTAATTAATAGTTTAGCATAAGCATTTTCTCATGGTATTTAAAATTTTTAATACTCACTGTTTTGAGTACTGTAAAATATTAACTCAGTTGTGACAACATGATTAAGTAATTTGTTAACCCATTGGATATTCAGGGGGTTTTCCCCAATGATAGTTTATTCACCCATATATGTTACAAGTCCAGAAGAAAAGTCCACACTGCCTGATTTTTTTTGTGTCTCCGTGCTGTGACTATAAGTGGTCCTATTTTTGAAACTCCCAAAAGAAACAACTGGGGTCCAAATAGCAAGTAAAATATTAAGGTAGTTTTTAAACTGTCACGTTGATTTCAAAGCACATTCATCTCATTTAGCATCCCAAAGATGAAGCGTATACCCAGTTAGCTGTGTCACAAAGTAGCAAACATACTGCGTCCTGGACATCACAAGGCAGTTGCCTCTAAAACGAGACCTCAGACTTCAGCTTCGTTTTCTCACAGGGTATCGGGCTCTCTGGGAGAATGGTTGTCTGAGCAGCCGCTAAGCTGTGCTCATGTTGAACTTCCAAAACCGGGTCCATGACTCTAACGGCTGGGATGAGAGCATGCATAGCAACAGACTCTAAGTCAGGATGGCCGGTTGGTTCCCCAGCAAGCCAACGGACAGGCTTCTCAAAGTTATAGTTACTTCTGGTGGAAGTCTTGTATTACTAAAGATTCCTCTTTCATTGGAAGATGATGGATTTTTCCCTTCATTTCCGAGCCCTTAATGTCCACTCTGTTGCCAAGCAATAAGACAGGGGTGTTTCCACACACTCCCACTACACCTCTGTGCTCTTAGGTGCACATTTGTAACTCTCGACGTCCCATCAAACATTATGTCACACTGGGCTTGGCTGTAATAGCCATTTCTCAGGTTACCAAACGTATGTCTAATGCATTGAATTTAAAAAGTGTATCGCTGGTATGAAACACAGGCTGATCGACCTCAACAATCAAAATGATCACATCCTTATTTCTCAAACTCACTAGTCAAAGAACACTTTGAAAAGACGGTTTTACTAGCATTGTTGTCGCCAACTGATACATATTTAAATAGGACTTGGGATTCTTTTGGGGCAGCCATCAGGATGGTTCTTCCAGATGTCTCTGTTCCTCACCTGGCTGAGCCCAGATCCATCGTTTGCATGATTATTGGTTGGTTTTTATATAATCTCAGTTAGTGATGAAAATGAGAACACTTTAAATGCTTACAGTGTCATCTATGGCAACATGAAAATGGCTTTTGACCTAAAATTGCTAAGCTTTCTTTTGAACTAAAAACAATTCTCCTAAATGGATGCCTAATTCATGGATATCTCATTCATTCATTCACAGAATCCCTATTGAAACCCTAGGCTATACCAGGCACTGTTCCGGGTGCTGCAAACAAAGCAGACGGGAATCCCTGGAGTGTGTCTTCTCCTCAGCCCAGGACTGATGCACTGCTGCCTTCTGAGATGAAGTTGGAAATACCTGGAAGATCACTATTGCTGGAGAAGGAACCTTGGCCAGACACTGGAAACTCCTTATGTTCCCCTCCGGGTTTCACCTCCACTTACGAAGAGTGAGCAGTTACTGAGATAACAGAGGAGGCATCAAGAGCTTCTAAAAGGAGAGAGAGAACCCAGGGGACAGTCTGCTGAGGCAGCATCCAGTGAGCAAGTTCTCCACTTCAGGTGTGTTGGGAGCAGGGGAGCTGGTGGGCCAGAGGGAGCAAGGAAATTATTTTTCAAAGACAAAACAAAACAAAACAAAACAAAAAACCCTGCAAGACTGAATGGAGTATAGGCTACAAAAAAAAAGCCCCAAAACAAAAAACCCCACTAATCTGTAAGAAAGTGAAAAACAGGGCTTAATTTTCATTAAGAATTGGAAGCAAACCAGAGTTTTAAATCAGAACAAGAGCCAATAACGCCAGAGTAGAAACAGAAGTCAGAAAGCTGGGTTTTACGGCTGATTTAGAACTATGAAGGGGCTCAGGATTTGGGGATTTTTTTTTTTATTTTGGGAGTGTATGAGAATAAAGAGTAGCTTAAAAAGGGTGACTGAGGCAGACTTATGGAAAGCTGAGGATCCAATATTGTCAAGTGGGAGCTTTTCATCCAGCAAGCACAATCACGGAATGTGCAGGGTCCGCCCTGTGCTTCACAGCGCACTTGGGGGCTTAGAAAGACATTAGGGCCACAGCTTTGGAGTGATTCCGTATCTTGTCTGGATGGAAAGAGGACAGCCATTAGGGAGCCTGCCAGACATGGTATAGGAATTCAAGGGAGAGCCTAGAAGAAAGACAAATAGATTGAATTTGTCCAAGGAAGACAAATAAGAAGGAAAAAAAAGAAGTAAGGTAAAGGATGGAGACAGAATATATTAACTTGTACTCCTTGAGAACTTAGTCTCTCATCACATCCTTGAAAATATTACTTGCACAATTTAGCCCAGTTGTGTTGGAAGAAGACAAAGAAGAGGACAGGTTATAAAAAGGGTCTTGGGAGAAGTTAGGAAAATATGGAACTTCATCTATTCTCCTGTCATTAAATACCAGCTTCAGCGAGATGAATTGTGAACTTGGCTAAATGAACGGAAATGAATTAAAGGGTGGTTTGCTACTTGGTTGCAAGGTTGCCTGTGAATTTTTGCCAAACTGCATGCATGAATTCCCAACATAAGGCTCCTCTACCAAATCACTGGAAGAATCTATGAAATTGAGCTCACTGAACATGGTTTGTCTTTCTTTCTCTATTCTTTATGTTTTAACACATCAAGAACTGTTTTTATTATAAGCTAAGTTTTTTTTTTACCCTCTTAGTTTCAATCATTTTCCCTTAAAATTTGAAGTAAGAAAATTTCAAGGAATAAATAAATAATTTCCTCTGAGTTATATTAACTGATGATCTAAATATACATCCTGAACGTGGGAAAGAGTATTTGGGAAAGATCTATGCCTGTAAAATATTGAAGTTGTAAACAGAAATTTCTCTGGTTTCCCCCAGTAGGGCGCGGCTTTGGGATGGTGATCTCAAGAGAAAGATAGTAATTGTTTCCTGGTTCACCAGCATCACGTAGACCCAAATATTAGCTGGGCATAAAGAGTGTGGTAGTCACTAGATCTGAAACGAGTCTTTTTCTGGGTCCTTAAGGCCCCACTGTGACCTAAATTACACACAGACGTACACACGTACAATTGCCAGTGACATCAGTTGAAACTTCCTGTGAGCAACTGGGAAAGGGTCTTGGCCCAGAATTCCAAGAAACCCAACCTGAGGTTTTAAACCATAGTCCTTCCCTGTGCTTTGCAACTGATTCAGTTTCCAGCGAAATTATCATTGTCCCTGGTTCCAATAGCAAACAAAGGGGAGAATTGGATTAGAAAGGAGAAACATTTTGTTGAAAAAAAAAAAACACAAGACATTACTCTCTGAGAACATTTCAGAAGGGCCCAAAAGAGACAGAATTCTGAGATGCTATTCCCAAGATCTGTCAGGCTACCTGGAAACAGATGTTTCATGTAACTAAGGTAGTGACCAAAAGTGAGCGGGGTAGGGAAACGAGGTGAAAAAACACTAACACCTCCTCTTTCTTTCAGTCTTATTATTTTTTTCTCCCCCTGAAACCAAAGCTTGATTTGCTATTTGGCTCAAGGAGCAGAAGAGGACAGAGGAAGTCACAGTGCATTTCCACTTCTTGTCCAGTTTCCAGTCCCATGTCAGGAGAGCTAAACCTTGGATGGCCCGGCAGTGTCCCTAGGGAGGTCTGCTTGGCGGAGAAAGGGAAGGAGCTTGCGTTGGAGGACAGCCGTCTGCAGCGCTCAGCCCACAAGCTGTCTGTCCCCCCTGACCCTTGTCAGTACGACAGCGGGGAGAGCAAGATACAGAGTACTCCCTTTCTCATCAAAAAGACAAGAGTTTTGTGTCCAGCAGGCACCAGCCAGTGCCTCCTTGGCTAATAGCCAATCTGGCTACAGGAATTTGTCTGCAACAAAACAAATCAAAGCTGCCCTGTGACTCGAACGGTAGGTGGTCTGAGTCCACATACACAACGGCCTCTCCAGGACTGACAAACGTCACAGTTAGCTGATTTTTGGGCCGGTTATACGGCAATATTTTTCTAAAGATAACATGGCTTAGCGTCACCATCACTGACATCCCACAATGCTTGTCTCTACTAGACTGGATTGCATTATAATGTGAAATCATTGAATTGTCAACATTTTTCTACTTTTTGAAAATAGGGTTCTGAATCCCAGGGAGCTGAAGGGAATTGCCTGCGGTTTAGTCAGCTGTTCTTAAAAATAGCCAAGAATTCACATCTCCTCCTGGCTCTTCCAGGCTTAGTGATTCCCCTTCGGTGGACACAGGGCTTGCACTGGATTGCGCACAAGTTGGCACGCAGTCCAGAAAAGTTTTGAACAGATTGTCCCAGGCCAGTTATGTCCTCGAGAATCCACTGTCTTTTGCTCCCAAGTAAAAGATACATATGAGAGGAGTTAACTCCTCGAGGTTCTAGAGGAATCAATGGATATACCAAGGCCTGCCACTATGTTCCAAACAGATTTGTCTAAAGGCTCCATTTCCTACTGAGCTAGTCTGGATGTCTTATCTGGAGGAGCACCTAAGAAAACTCACCATTCTGGAGAATTCTGGAGGATTCTGGGGCTTGCAGAAAGTATCCACCGTGGTGTGGAAACTCTGGTTTCTCTGAACTCCCACAGAACTGGAGTTCTGAGCCTTGTTGTAAAATAGCACCAGGCAAAGATAAAAGTGTAGAAAAGTCTCTTTTCTTTAAAGGGCCAAGTAATAGAAGAAATAAAATAAGGGAAAAGAAGCTATAGAGTTTTGAAAATGAAATATTAAATCCTGATGCAATGGAAATATTCAGAGCAAAGGACACATAGAATGTAGTTTAAATGGGACCTGGGGTACAAAATGAGTAAGGCTAAATAAAAAATTAATTAAATCCACATGAATGAGATAGCATCACTTTGTGGTTACAACTGCAGATTCTGAAGTCAGACCGACCCGACTTTTGGTCTCAGTTTGGTCATTCATTAGATATGTAGCTTTAGGAATATTACTCAAGACCCTTTCTCCCAAATTTTTCATTTGTTAAAGGGATTAACGAACCTATCTCAGAGATGTTCATGAGCCTTTACACTGACATGAAGTGTGTACAAACCAAGTATGAAGTCTGGCACAGATTAAGTGCTCAATAAATGCCGGTTAAAGTTATCTTGAGATAAAGTAATCTGGAGTCTATGAATAAATATATATTATAAATGAAGTGAGTCTGTATATATAAATAAAGTGAATCTGAAGGAAAATGAAGAGAAAGGGCAATTTACTTGGTGGACAGTAGCAGGAAGCAATTTAGATATAAGAAATATGGAAAAATGCCAAAAAGTATGGTGGCCATATTATCTGAAAAAAACAAATTAGCACACATGTCTTGAAAGTAGGAGAGCTTGTTGCTTTGGGAATTGCTATAGGAAATCCAGGAAAGGTCATCACTGCACGACAGTGTGAATTATATTTTCAAAGGAGGAAATTCTTTCACTGAAAGCTATGAGAAATTAACATCTTTTCTTGGGTTATACTTTTGAGCTACAGCCAACTGTAAGTTACTTAAACTTTGATAAATGAACGTGACTCTTCACTTTGCATTTCTAGATGCACTGATTTGATCATCTGACTATTTGTTCACATTCCACCAGAAGTACTTAATGGAGAAGAGATTAAAAGCCAACTAATCTTGATTTGCTAGGTGAGTGTAATGGCTACCAAAGGACAGAATAGCCACAGCAACTTCTTCATCAGCCTGATCCTAGATCCTGGTGATGTCCTTAGAGACTCTGCCTGTAACTTGGTTCTGCCCCAAGTGCATAGCCCCAATTTTATGAAATGAAGGCTTTTGGGATTATAAAGTCCCCCTTTAACCATAGTTTCCCTTCCCTCAGTTTTGCTTACTTGTTGTCAATCACAGTCTGAAAATATTAAATGGAAAATTCCAGAAATAAACGATTCATAACTTTAAAATTGTATGCCATTCAGAGCAGTGTGATGAAGTCTCCTGACATCCAGCTCCATCTCCCTAGGGCGTGAATCATCTCTTTGTCCAGCATATCCGGCCCGTTAGGCTCTAAGTAGCCATCTTGGTTATCAGATTGACTATGGACTGTTGGCATCAGCAGTGCTGGCATTCAGGTAATTCATATTTTATTACCAATGTTTATTCTATTTCATAGGTCTATTTGTCTATATACATGCCAGTATCACATCATTTTGATTACTGTAGCTTTGTCATATGTTTTGATATCAAGTGTGATTCTGCCAACATTATTCTTTTTCGAAATTGTTTTGGCTATTTGCAGTCTCTTGAGATGCAATATTAGCTTCTGGATAAATTTATTTATTTCCGCAAAAAATGCCATTGGGATTTTGATAGGAATTGAGTTGACTCCATAGATTGCTTTGGGTAATAAGGGCACCTTTATCAATACTGAGTCTTCCAATCCATGAACATGGAATGCCTTTCCATTTATTTGTGTCTTTTAAAATTTCTCCCAGGATTGTTTTCATTGGGCATCTTCATGCTCTTTACAGTTATTTTAAATATGTGTCGGGCAGCTCATAGATCTGTGTTTCTTCAGAGTTAGTTTTTTGAATTTTATTTTGTTCCTTGATTGACTCAGTGTTTCCCTAGCCCTAGTCAGGTAAGACAGAAACTAGGTGTCTGGGAAGCCTCCAGAGAAGACAGAATGTTAGACTGACATCCACTCTTTTGTTCTCAATCCTGAGACTGAAGCCCTGATAAAGAGGGTTTCCTCCCACTTGCTCCAGGCAATGCTGCATAAAGGGGAAGGGAATGAATAGCCATGCCAGATGCCACCAAGTTTCCCCTTTGTGCTGGAATCCATTCTTGGTTTACAATAGCCTGCATGCTGTAGCTTCTCAATGGTCTCCAGAGTTCTCATAGAGGTATTATGGTTCATATATTGTTGTTAACTTTGTAACTTTCTCTGGGGGAAGGAGGACCTGAAGCTTACTAGTCCTCTACATTACTAGTGTCCCTCGATTAATTAATTTTTGACCGAGTGGGAAGGCAATTTAATGGAGAAAGGGTAGTCTTTTCAACATGTGATGCAGCAACAATTAATCATCCATAAGGAAAAAAGAAAAAGAAAAAAGAAACTTTGATCCTTACTTTGCACCATATTTAAGGTTAATTCAAAACAATCGTAGACCGAAATGTGAAATTTAGAGACTATAAAGGCAATTAACTTGTGTATGCTACTTCTTGATAATACCATTTATATGGAAATGTAAAGGTCTTAGAATAGTCAAATCTTGAAAAAGTGAAACAGTGTTTGAATACTCACATTACCTTATTTTGTGATTAATATAAAGGGACTATAAATGAGACAGTGTGGTCCTGGTTTAAGGACAGATAAATAGACCAAAGGGACCTAAAGGAAAGTACAGTAATAGCTTCTCACAGAGTCAATTTTTTTGACAAAGGTTTCATTGTTATTTAGTGTGGAAAGAAAAATCTTATCATCAATCTTATTGTTCCAACTGGATATCTTTATGGAAAAAAAAAAACATTGAACCTTGACCTATATTTCACAGTATACAGAAATCTCAACTGAAGATGGATTATAGACCTAAATAGAAAAGCTTAAAATATAAAGCTCTTTGCTACCTGGAGATTATCTTTGCTACACTGAAGTAGACAGATTACTTAGAATATAAACATCACTAACAATGAATGAAATACTTGAGAGACCAGATTTAATCAAAATTAAAAAAAATTTGTTCATTAAAAGATATTGTTAAGATGAAAAGGCAAGGCACAGATGGAGAGAAATATTCAAAATAGACAGATGACACAAAGAATTCGTATCAAGATTATATTAAAAACCTTTCACAAGTCAATAACAAAAAGCAAGCAACTCATTAAAAATGAGAGCAATATTAAAATAGACCCTTCACAAAAAGAGGGTGTACAAATGGTCGATGAACCCATAAAATACACTCAACATCCTTAGTCATGGAAATGCAGAGTAAAACCACAGTGATTACCAGTACATACCCATTAAAATTGCTAAATTTAAATTAACTACAAATTTCAGTTGCTGAAGAGGACGCAAAGCAACACGTGCTCTCATGCAGTATGAGTGGGGATATAAAACAGTACGGCCACTTGAGAAAATTATTAACATTTACTTTTATTGAATTGAACATACATCTATCTTATGAACCAGCAATTTTCACTTCTAGTGATTTATCCTAAAGTAATGAAAACATGTACCCATCCAAAGACTTGCACAAAAATATGCATTGCATTTTTATTCACAATAGCAGCGAAATTGGAAACGATCCAAATGTCCATCGACAGGAGAATGAATAAGTAAATTGTGATATATTCACACAGTGGTACTGCTGGTATTCAGCAATAAAAAGGAACAGATCACTGATATATGTGACAATATAGATAAATCTCAAAGTAGCATGCTGAGCAAGAAAGCCAGACACAGAAGAGTACATACTGTTATTCCATTTTTTGAATGGTATCTGTGGTTATAGAAATCCAAATGGTAGTTTCTCTGAGCTATGGAGGTGGGCAAGGTAGACTGGGAAGAGCCCTGAAGACACTTTGCCGTGTGATGTCCGTGCTGTAGATCCTAACTGGGAGGCTGGCTACATGGGTGTACACATTTGTGAAAACTTATCAAGCTGTTCACTAAAGATCTATATATTTTAAAGTGTGTGTGTAAGTTTACCCTCAGACAATTTTTTAAAAAGGAAATGAAATAAAAAACATTTTTAGTTAAACAAAAACAAGGTAATTCATTATTAGCAGATGAGCATTAATGGAAATACCAAAGGTTATTTTTCAGGCAGATACAATGGGGGTTGATGAAGATGTAGTTGAAGCTGTCATAAGCTGTAGGTGGTACAACTTTTAAAAACTGTTTGTGGAGGAAAAGGTATAGCTCAGTGGTAGAGTGCATGCTTAGCATGCACGAGGTCCTGGGTTCAGTCCCCAGTCCATCCATTAAAACATACAAACATACAAACAAACAAACCTAATTACATTCTGTCCCCCCAACATAATTAAAAAAATAAAAATAAAAACTGTTTAGACTTATATATAAACCCAATGACCCAGCAATTCCACATCTCTTTACCTAGGACTATATATTAGTAACTAGGATTTTGCAACAGGTGATATTCCATGTGTATCTGCAATTTTCGTAGAAGGTGGGAAATTCAATAGCAAGGTCAGAATATAGGAAGTAAAATTTCTATTTAGATGGTGAGAGTGATAGACATTAACTGGTGATGGAACCTGGGCTCCTGAAAAGAGCTGGGACTCAAGGAGGGTGAGCCCAGTGTAATGTATCGGGAGAACTGCAGACCCACCCCAGCCCCATGAGACCTTGCCAGCGTGCCCGAACGACCCCCACAGCACAGCATCCCACCCGCCCTTAGCTCCCACCCAGTCACAGCTCTGGACTTTCCCAGTAACTGAATAACACCTGCCGGTCCAAGGCTCTAAAAATACCTCCAGGTAGTCTCACTGTTTCTTTTTAATTAAAACTGAATCTGTTCTCTGATAAAACAGAACAGTCATAACACTGATTACAAGTGGCACCTTTCTTCATGCAGGTTTTCTCCCTGAATCCTTGTCTTGTATTTCCAGAGCATTCCCTTCAGAATTTACTATGTTCCTTACACTTCCCTGGCACAGCAGGCTCGACAGCAGGTTGAGACGGAAGGGCACTTAAAGCAAAGAGAACAGCAAAGTCAAAGGCACCAAGTGAACAAGAAAACAACACAATGTTTGTGGAATTAAAAATAATTGAGTCTCATTGGACTGTAGGTAGTAAAGGCACCTGGGGTGGGAGATGAAGCTGAAGCTTAGCCAACCTCAAACTGGAGGAATTTTGCACATAAGCTTGGATTTTCAACTTTTTCTCTAGTTGACATGAGTTTTTAACCACTTCACTCAGCTACAAAGATTCAGGACTCTAATCACTTTTTTATCTACCTAAGATTTTTTTGAAAGGCAAATGCTCTTGAAAGTGTAAGGATTGTCTCTCTATAAATATATTCATGTGAGGAATATAAAGCTATAGTTTGGAAAACAGTGCGGGTTTGTGTGTGTGTGTGTGTTTAATCTGTGCTTGACACAGAGTAGTAAGAAAGGGTCCGGTTTCCTCCCGTTGGTCCTGGCTCTCATACCATAAGCACCGACCCAGTTTCCACCAAGCCCACTCTCCGCAGACTGCATTATCTACTTCCTTTGCAGGTTTGTGTTGGAATGTTTTAAAAACTCTATCTAGGGATGCTTTAGTGAAAGGCAGAATTCAGTCTATCTAAAAAGTGAAAGGAAAGGACTCATTAGTTCCTCTCCTGACCAGCTCATTCACTCTTCTGCTGGTTCCTCAGCTTCAGGATCTCCAGTGCAGTGACCTTCTCTGTTCCTCCATTACATCTTTGACTTTTTGTTTCCATTCCTTTTGCAATTTAGACAAGACCTATGGATCAGCATTTAAAACTCTCTGGGTATCCTTTAGTTTTTCACTCTCTCGTAATTTCTGCCCAGTAAAACCCAAAAGAACATCTTCAAGTACAGGGGAAGAGGAATAGGAAATGAGGAGTATGGAAAAACAATTAGATAGGAGCCAAACTGGAAGTAGGAAGTCTGCCATGATGCTCTACCTGTAATCTAGGCAAGAAATGAGAAGAGCCTACACTGTGACAGTGGGACATGAAGCACCAGGATCAGATTCTAGGGATATCGAGGAAGTGGAATTATAAGACTCCATTTCCAGCTTTTGCGGCTAGATACTGGCCAGCTGTTCACTAAGACTGGTAACAATGAAAGAGTTGACTTTGGTAAAGAGGACAGAATCCACTTTAGCTAAGAATTTGAAGTCCTTTTGAGGTCTCCACATCGAGCTTTTGTGGAGGTCAGGAGAGAGTTGTGGGATGTACTGGTGACTTGGGAGCCATCAGCAGGTAAGCAATAATTGGAGCCAGGAGGTTTAATTAACCTACAAAAGGAAACTGTGTTGAGAGAGAAAACGAGAGACCCAAGACCAGAAGAGTCCATTAAGGAAATATGTCAGGAAGCCAAGTGAAAAGAAAGTAAAAAAATTGAGTACTGAGCAGAACCAAGTCTTTTGGATTTAACA